AAGGGGGGCTTCAAGGCGGCTTGAGAAGGGCTTTAAGGGGGCTTCAAGGGGGCTTGGGAAGGGCTTGAAGGGGGCTTGAAGGTGAAGGCTTCGAAGGGGGCTTGAAGGGGGCTTGAGAAGGGCTTCAAGGGGGCTTGAGAAGGGCTTCAAGGGGGCTTCAAGGGGGCTTGAGAAGGGCTTCAATGGGGCTTCAAGGTGAAGGGGGCTTCAAGGGGGCTTGAAGGGGGCTTCAGAAGGGCTTCAGGGGCTTGAGAAGGGCTTTGAAGGGGGCTTCAAGGTGAAGAGGGTTTCAAGGCAGCTTGGTGGGGGCTTCAGAAGGGCTTCAAAGGGCTTCAAGGGGGCTTCAGAAAGGTTTGAAGGGGGTTTGAGCAAGGTTCGAAAGGTGCTTGAGAAAGGCTTGAAGCGGCTTGACAAGTTTTTGAGAAGGTTGCGCCGCCTGATCACTTGCGCATCAAACCGATCACTTGCGCCTCCAATACTCACTTGCGCCCCCCAGCCTACTCACTTGCGCCCCCCTCCCTGCCTTCCACAATGTCATGATCTAAATTCTAAGTTTTTATTTAAACTTCCCCTCCCCCTTGCCTTCCACAATGCCATGATCTAAATTCGAAGTCTTTATTTAAACTTCCCCCCCTTGCCTTCCACAGTGCCATGATCTAAAATCGAACTCTTTATTTAAACTTCCCCCCCTTTGCCTTCCACAATGCCATGATCTAAAATCCAACTCTTTATTTAAACTTCCCCCCCCTTGCCTTCCACAATGCCATGATCTAAATTCTAAGTCTTTATTTGAACTTCCCCCCCCTTGCCTTTGCACAATGCCATGGTAAACTTTCCCCCCCTTGCCTTCCACAATGCCATGATCTAAAATCGAACTCTTTATTTAAACTTCCGTTCCCTTGCCATCCACTATGCCATAATCTAAAATCTAACTCTTTATTTAAACTTCCCCCCCCCTTGCCTTCCACTATGCCATGATCTAAAACCTAACTCCTTATTTAAACTTCCAACCCCTTGCCTTCCACAATGCCATGATCTAAAATCTAACTCTTTATTTAAACTTCCCCCCCTTGCTTTCCACTATGCCATGATCTAAAACCTAACTCTTTATTTAAACTTCCAACTCCTTGCCTTCCACAATGCCATGATCTAAATTCTAAGTTTTTATTTAAACTTCCCCGCCCCCTTGCCTTCCACAATGCCATGATCTAAAACCTAACTCTTCATTTAAACTTTTATCCCCCTTGCCTTCCACAATGCCATGATCTAAATTCTAAGTCTTTATTTAAACTTCCCCCCCTTGCCTTCCACAATGCCATGATCTAAAATCGAATTCTTTATATAAACTTTCCCCCCCTTGCCTTCCACAATGCCATGATCTAAATTCGAAGTCTTTATTTAAACTTCCCCCCCCTTGCCTTCCACAGTGCCATGATCTAAAATCGAACTCTTTATTTAAACTTCCCCCCCTTTGCCTTCCACAATGCCATGATCTCAAATCCAACTCTTTATTTAAACTTCCCCCCCCTGCCTTCCACAATGCCATGATCTAAATTCTAAGTCTTTATTTGAACTTC